TCTTGCCATGTCAGAAGAAGCCGGAGGCTGACACCCTTTTTCCATAAAGCCCCTTACTCTGCCTTCGGATTGCTTCTGCAGTTTCCTTCTTAATTTTGCCTTCTCCAATGCAGCCTGGACTAATGTGTTACATTTCCTAAGCAACGTAAAGCTGTTTCATCCTGGGAAATAGGTCTGGATTTAGTAGCCTTGCTCTTACTGGTGAATGATTTTAAGAAAAACAGTGCAAATAGTGTCTGAGGAAGCTTTTAGATGATCTGATTTGAGCTGCCAGCAAATACCACTGTGGTTTCAGCAACCTTTAACTCTCCGAGTAATACGAAAATGGCTGCTGCAGGAAGCGGAGGTAGTGTCTACATACGGGCAGTTTCCATCCTCTCCTTGCCTGGGCTGAGGTGAGCACCGCCTGTCACCTCCACCTCCAGCTGCATCAGGGCTGGCTGGCAGATGCATTGGTACAAAGTCGGAGGTGAAGCCTTGGGAGTCAGGGTTAGAAATGTCTACGGTCTTGATAAATCACCCATCTCTTCTCTGTGCTTTCCATTTGCAGCACCTACCATGTCACAGTCAGCACAAGTTCTTTAACCCACAATTTATTTCCAGCTGGTGCTCTCTTTGTTACAGCAGGAATCCCCACAAAGGGGATAGAAAGTTGGAGAATCAGAACCCAGGCATAATTCTCACATGGGTGCTTGTTCCTGCACTAAATGTTATGCCCCCCCCCAGGGGACCGTCAGGGGTACTGGGACGTGTGCCCCTGTCAGGGGACTCCAGGGACCCCCCAGGGGTATTGGGGTCAACAAGGGAAGGAAGGAAGGAAGGTGTCTGTGGGTGTAAATAGCCCTCAGCCCTGACACAGGGGGAAAAACTCCTGCAGCTGCTTTTGTCAGAGCCCTGCCCCGGCAGCCGCCACATCATCGTGTATGGCAATGAGACAGCCTGGCTGCTGTGGTGCCGCGCATCAGACCGTTTCTACTTCATCCCCTCTTTTTCTCCTCTCTGAGTGACGGGGCTGTGAGTCCTGGCTGACCCGCCTTGTCGGGGGGGCTGTGATGTTCATCCCATTCAGGTGTGAGAACATCAAACCTCAGAAGTTGTGTGCAGCATTGCTGCGTGCTACAGTCACTGTGGTTTCTGAACCCTAAAACCTCTAGGTCCAGTGGGATCCCTATAACCACACAATCTAGAGAGTTTTCAGTTAGTGCTAGCAGAAACAGGATTATTGCATGTGACATAAGCAGTTGCCAGATAAACTAAACGTAGTGGTTGCTATCAGGTTTTCAGCGAGATAGGACGGTTTTTCGGAAAGTGGGAGTTCATCAAATAGAGCTACGTTTATCTCACTTAACATTACAAGTGCCAGAAAAGCAGGCATGTAGTCTAAGTTTTATGTCTAGGCTTCCCCTATAAGCAGCAATGAGAAGCCAGACCCTCCAAGGACCAAGTATCCCATACTAAAATACCTGGGGTGAATTTTCCTCTCAAATTTTTGGTGGCTAGGCAGGGCAGCTCCTCACCCTCTACCAGTGCAAAAGCCATTGCTATATGCCACAGTATGTCCCACTCTGTTCCCATTCCTCTGTGTTTCCTAACTCTGCCTCCTGCTGACTCCTTTGTCCACATTCAGGGTGTCCCGGCTGCTCCTCACACTTCAGAGCCCACTGAGCGACAGGGTAGCACTGACGGCTTCACGGAGGTGCCTGTGTACATCACTTAGGTCTCACTGATGAAGACCATCTCTTTTCAGGTCAGCCTCAGCTACATATATATGCACATGGATTGTACGGGACATTCACCTTCAAGGCTTCAGCCTCCTTGGCCATAATGGGACTCGCCAGGGGAGCAGATTATGAGAAAATGACTGAGATGTCATTTTTCCTTTTATTAACACAAGAAAAATCAAGCCCATCTAATGCCACAAGAAAATCAAGACAACTGTATTTCATCAGCTTCCCAGCCATCTCAACATCCAGATAAAATGAAACCTCACTATTCATTACTTTTTGCCTCATGCCTGTTCTGTTTTCCCTACTAAATGTCCTTCGAACCAGCCTATGGCTGAATGTCAAGGTTATAGTCATATGGCCTCTACCTCTGTTCCCACCGCTTCTTTTACCCAGACATGGAAGGAGATATCTAACAGTTATTCTTTGTCTTCTTCAAGGAGAAAGTAGCTGCTCCTACAGGCTACTTCTGACCTGTTGGTTGGACCATACTGTGTAAACTATGCTTTTCCTTCCCTCTTGCCACCACTCTCATTGCTAATCTCTCATCCCCAAAATATAAACCATCACTTCCTACTTTCCAAAAGTCCACTTTTCTGCCTTTACACTTGCTGGTCCTGAGGTTCTGATAAGGCAGACCACAGAAAGCTCAGGAACAGAAATTTAAAATACAGATATGATACAGATTATAAGGTAGGATATAGAATATACAGTCTTCAGAACATAGGAATAAAATACAACTTAAGAACGTTGGATGCTCAAGTAGTCCTCTCCCTGTGTTTTCTTCCCCAGTCCAAGTATTGACACTTTTCTGTAAGTGCCTTTACTTTCATTTGATAATGAGAATTTATAATTCACGTGGTGAAAATGCCCTCCTTCTGGGGACAGAGCCATTTGTTTCCTTGAAACTGGTCTTCAGCAGCACATCAGCTTTGATTCTGATAGAAACAAACTCAATTCAGTGAGCCTCTGTAACTTGCAAAAATTGGTCTTTGAGAAGTGCCAGTGATTTTGCAGTGGATCGTGCTCTCTGTTCATCTATCTGTAAGTGGTGGAAGTAGAATTTCTTTCAATCTCTCTGGATTCATATACTCCCACTGCAGTACTACTCTTTCTAATGACAATACAGTACCGTACCTGCTACTTAAAGATGCTGCAGAATGCACACAGGTTGGAGAGATTCTCCTTTCCCCAAATAAAAGAGGATCTATAATTTTGGAGAGGCAAAATTCAAATGTGGGCAAAAAAGTAAGGACCTTGATGTCCAACGACCTCTGAATAGAAATTATTTGGAGACTAAAGACTACTGGCTTTGAGATTGATATCTCTCTGAAGTGTCTCCTATTTTTAAGTTTACCATGCATGGCTGGAAAATAGCTGAAACTGGGATATTTGCAGGAAGGAAGGGTTCTGTTTAACAAGTTCTTATGCAGCTTAGGAATGAACCTATGAGAAAAACGACAATTCTGCTGGACTTCAAGGAATCACGCATGACTATACATTCACACCTTCCCATTTCTGTTTAGAAATGTTTGAATCAGTTATCGCAATGCTTGTTTATTTAACACAGGCTTCTGTGAGTGTGTCACTGTTGCTTTATCAGTTGCTCTTGGATAATTCCCTCCCTTGGCTGTTGTCTGTGTACGTGTATTATATATCCTCAGCACCTGATCCTGAACACTAATTTCAGAAGAACAAGCTGAAGAAGAGTGTCTGTGTGCAAGTATCACTGACTGGCATACCAGTTGTTTGTGCTGCCTGAGAGCTGCTGATCGCAAGTCAAACCTTTAATAAAAATGATCCCTGAAAATTGCCAACACGAGGAAGGCCTTCGGTACCAGAAAATAGCTTACTTCAGCCTAGACAAACACAACCCAAAATCTGTAGTGCAATTTATTGCACTAGTACAATTTATTGAAGACAGTTCTTAGTTACATTTCTTTCTCAGAATCCCAGAAGGAACATGCAAATTACAGCAGCTAAGAGCCCCAAACTGTGTTACACCTCCTCCTCTTGCAGACAGTGCCTTCCCAGGAAGTCAGTAAGGGAGCCTTCCATATTGCAAGTTCAGGATACTCATTACATTCCTTTTAGTACCCTGTTTGTATCAAAATAAATTATACAGGACATAACAACCTGCACAGCTTTTGAAATGCAGAGCATAAGTTCTGACTTCAGTTGCACCCCTGTAAAGCAGGGATAACCTTAGTGCAATTGACTGTGGCAGCACTTGGGTGTGAAGCTGGCATCAGTGGGACCTGATTCAGGACTAGTGTCCCTACATACAGCATCTCAAGAAGTAATGCAGTGACACAGCCTGCCACCTTTAGCACCACATATATATTGATCATTTTCCAGGAATTTCTTACCAAGCTGCTACAACATTTACGGTTGGACTTCATGATCTTAAGGGTCTTTTCCAACCTAAATGATTCTATGATTCTATGACTCTATCATCATTAGCAGGTATGATCCAAGTGGTAGAGAAACACACAATCCGCTGCTGATGTCCTTTCAGTAACCAGCCAGCTAAAGGCTCCAACAGAAATTCCAGCACATCTCGCTGAGGCAACAGAAATTACTGCCCCCAGCTATCTGCTCTACCTGCCTGCTGGAGATTTCTGCAACATAGAACAACTGTAAGAAGCTAATGCGGACCCCTCACACCCACCCCAGGAATGGAGCAGCTGAGGGCTTGTGCTGACGATGCCTGGGAAGCTTCAGCAGAGGGGCACCAGCAAATGGTGGCAGCTATCAAGTCCCAGTCTGCCACAGCTGTCTGCTCAGAACATTTTTTTCCTGTACTTTGTGATCAGTAAACGCCACACTCTCCTTTGAGTGGCAGGAGATTTTTGCATAGACAACACACTGCTTCCAGGGGGTACAAAAAAAATCTGAACATGCCCTTTTCCTCAGATTACTGTGCACTAGATGTGCAGATAATGCAACTGGTCACTAATGCTGTGTTTAGGTGGGGGGTGCCTGTTGCTTTTTTGAACAAGCTCAAGTCTTAGCACGAACAAACCTGGCAACCATTAGTATGAAAGCCCATGGAAAAAAACAGGTGGAGTAGGAAAGACTTTGTGAGTCCCTTCCTTTGATAAGTACTGAACTTCCTGTCACCCCAGCCATAGGAATTGTTGATGACAGTGATGGCCGCAGATTGGCCAGGGTACAGACTGAGTATGTTTGTTTACTTAAAAGAACAAAAGTTTTATGGCAAACCATAAGATTAATAGGTCAGGGCAGAATGGGGGCTGAAGGTGAGATCAGAACACCGGCAGATTGTTGTTCTGAAATAGCCAGTCAGTACCAAGTTCAGCAAAGAGCACACGGCATTTTTGGAGAAACTGAAGAGGCCTCATTGGACTGTTTCTGTAGGTGTGCTGGCTGACTGTTGTCCCTGGCTGCTGTGTATCCCCAAGGTCACATGCTGAGAAGCAGCAGAACACAGAAGAGACTGGCAGGAATCCCATTGAACCTTCAGCTTTGTCAGCCAACACTGGTAGACTCCATTGTAGGTTATCTGTAAACTGGACTAAACGCATTCCTCTTCTGTCCTAGGAGAGAAGACCTAGAAATACATTTTGGAAGACAAGACAAATGCTCTTCTCTCAGATTTAGGCTTCCAGATGGTCTGACACAGTGTGGCTGCACAATCTGAAGTGACTGTACAATGGATGTGTTTTAACTGCCCATATCAAATGAAGATTGAAGTCCTCGCTTCAGGGAAGTCTGACACAGATGCAGCGCCTGGGCAAAGAGCATGCTGAGGTAGAAATAGTGAAGGCATCCAAGTAAGCACACTCAGAGTGATTCCGAATCTGGAACCTGAAAAAATACAGGAAGAAAATAGTGATTACTAAATAATTTCTACTACTGAGTCAAATATTTTAGCCTGCTGTAAAACAAAACTTCTGCTAAAGTGGTTTCCAGTTGATTTTGGTCCCCTGTGATATGGTAGTTTCAGCTGCTAAAAGCAAGGTGAGTGCTAAATCACATTTGAAAAGCCTGTTTAGCTCATGCAGTGTTGCATGAACCTCCGTTTCTATGAATGGTCCGTATCAGGTATCATACAATAACAGAAGGAAAGACAAAAGACAGCTTATGATATATCTTGCCTAGGACATAGAGCAAGACAAGGGGAACTGCTGTTTGATGTGCCTGACGCAGAGCTGTTGTAGCCCAGACATTTTCTAATATAAATAGAGGGAAAAATCTGGGTTGTCTGCAGGTTGTGACAAACTCACTAAAGCAGGTACAATTTTTCTTATGAAGCTGCTTAACCCATCTGAAGATGATTATTCCCTCGCACCTGTAATTTCATTCTCTTTCATCCCTAAAAAATGTATGTATATTTGCTAGATATTGTGTATTTCAGGAAGACAAGCACAAAGGATCACATTGGAAACCAAAAATTCTGAAGATCTGAAAAAGAGACTGAAATGTCTATACTATGGACTGAAAAATATGTATAAAGTAAGGTAAATAGGGATGATCAATAACATTAACTTGATGTGCTGAGGTACCAAAAACCCCTTCTTGAATCAGGGACTTCTCTACATTGATGCTATTGGAGTTAGATCAGTAATAACTGCAAGAGTTCATTTTCAAAGTCATAGTTACAAATCATAGGAAAAAGAAGAATCCTGATAGAAATAACATTGTGCTGCAAACCCTAATTCTACATTCGCTTAAGTCTGTGTTAGACAATCACAAGGAACTTACAAGTCCACCTTCAAGGCAATACCATTCTCCCAGTAGAAGCTTTCACCTTTCTTGCGCAATCCAATCCAGGAGTCATCTATTTTCAAATGCTTAGTTAAAGAACGCTAAAAAAAAAAAACAAAACAACACATACCCTTTTTTTTTTGTCAACATGAGCTCTCACAACAAGAAGCAAATTCCTCCTGTGACTTTTGAGGACTAGTTCATCACTGTCATCTATAACACTTTCATAAGCATTTCACTGAGAGTTAAGAGCCTAATTCTGACTTTGAACTGACTCTTGTAGTATCATAAACTTCAGTGAAGTTATTCAAGTCTATACCCTTGAAAATTATTACTGTTCACTACACACAAAAATACCCCAAAACCATGTATTGGTCATGTCTGCCTATATATGTTTATCAATCTCTACATATGCAGCTTGGTCTAAACAGGCTGGTACATACAGGTGTTTCCTGCATTTCAAGTGGGCATATGGGAACTCCTCCCCTTCCCAATTATTAAGTAATTTATAGTTTTTTATCTGTGGATGTACAGATAAAAAGAGCAAAAGACAGTTCACTGCTCCAGAAGTTTGCAACAACCTGTATTAAACACAGCAAAGAACGATGGAAGATAACAGAAACAGCAATTGCAATGGGTTAGTATTACAGAATTCCCTGCGACAAGCTATCAGTAGACTCAGTGAACTTAAAAATGAGATAAAATATTAGCTGTCATCATGGACTCTAATGGACATGGAGAGAGTGCACCCTTATACTCCTCCACTCTCCTCTAGCAACTTCAATTCAATACAGTTCAGAAGAAACTGTCTCAGCATGGTCCCAATGCCATTTCTGCAGTTTTTGGTGTACTTCTTCTGGTGTGGCTCATGTTATCCAGTGCTAGAGACCAGACAACGCATGCCACAGAGCACTCAGCTGGCCCGGTAAGCCAATGTCAGTGTTCCTGTGCTTTTCTTTCATAAGTTGTGTTTACAGTTTGTAGGTATAGTTTTTAAGCAGTAATTTAAATAACACCAATTTCTGTCTAGCCAATTATCGGCTGAGTATCACAGGCACTGAATTAGAAGTGAAGCTTTTAGATGCATAAGGAAGAGAGGTGTTTACAAATTTGGTAAGAGGTCATCAGTCACAGGGCAGCAATGCAGAAGGGGCTAGTGGAGAGGGGACAAGCTGGCAAATATGGTTGGAATTATTGGCAAAGAAAGTGGTCTGATGATGGGATAAAATGAGAGACCACACTGACTAAGGGACTCATACATGAAGTAAGAACTAGGCCCTGCATCTTTCTCATTGTTGAAATTCTTGTGGCTGTAAAAATATTTATTAGCTCAAGTCAAATTCAGATGTGACTTGATCTGTGCAATTTCACTGAGGTTTCCTCCATCTCAATATCTGCTACACCACTAATATGTATCAGCCAATCAGAAAAGTAGCCTTTTGACCTCTATTCAACAATAACAGTAACAAGAAAGCTCAAATGTCAATCTATCTAAAAACTAACTTTTTGATGAAACTAGTTTCTCATTGACAATACTCAAAAGACAGCAGATCTGTAAGAGCATATTACAGTTTTAGTAGCATGCAGCAGGGAGAAGTCACTAGCATTCACCAACTCAATGCAACTGGACCATAATACAGGCAAATCAAAGTATTTTAACAAACTTAATAGCATGAGAAAATGTCCAAACCAGCTTCAGTAGGGGTATATTCCCACCACTGGTACAAGCACACATCTCTAAGAGGCATTAAGGCATATCTAAAATCAGATGCAAGCAGATAAAGATGGATAATTTCCACTACGCTGAGAAATAGTTTTAAATGTTTGGTTTCTTACAGAAACAAAAGCATCCATTTATTTGGCTGTACTGGATGTTGGACAAATTCATACCTCCTTTGAAGATGAAGGTCCATAGGACAGAAAATTGAAACTAAGTAAACTAATTCATAACAAAGACCTTTTCATAGTCATTCAAGTCAAATCCAGGCACCAAAGCAGAGCACCAAAGCAGATGGTACTTCCCACTGCCTGAATTCACACAGCTTACTTACTTATTTTACAAAGATTTAAAGGATAAGCACTGCATGGAAAAAAAAATGAAAGCTTTGTCCAGGAAAGAGGGAGATACAGAAGTTGTTTTCTGTTTTGTTGTTGGGGTTTTTTTTCCCATTACCATTTCTTCCTGGTTTTCAAAAATGGCTAGCAAGGATTCATTCTCAGCGCAGAAGGTCTGACTAGATGTCCAGTTTTTTTCCTCCTCTGAGATGAAATAACATTTATTTTTGTAACCTATCCACTCGCTGGGGCACTGTTCAGGAGGAAATTTTCCATGGTGAGATATCTCAGAATGTATAACTGGAAAGGAAAAGAGAGAACAAAATTTCTACCTGGTAAAATCTTAGCATTTATCAGCATAACTCAACCTAAAATGCAGATTTTTTGGAAAGCCAATGCCACACTAGATGCCAGAAGAGAAGCCAAAGGAAGTGCAAGGGTCCCAACCTTCCCTGCCTTTCAGGCACTGTCTTCAGCTGAGAAATGTGAGAGTTGGGGGCTGCAGCCCAATTATTACAATCAGTAGAAAATAAGCAGGGTTTGGAAAACACTCCTGAATTTTAGAGAATTAGAGGCATTGACAATCGACGATTTATACTCGACGCATTTTAAATCCAGTAATAGGGTAAAAAAACTCTTACTGTTAATTTATTGATTGAATACATTTTAAGTAATGAAGGTGCCTGAATACCTACAACTGGTGAGATATTTCATGAAGACAAGTTGCTTTGATTTTGTATCAGACCTTTAAGTGATAAATCTGTGTGAAGGTAAGTAATTTAGGTGTTGACATGATGCTAATGAAATTTGTCCGTTAATGAAGAGGTAAAAATTATTATTATTTGGACATAATGGTTTGGAGAACAGTTCATTGGAGTTGTTCCCCAGCACGTTTTGATGCCCTCTCTTCACCTTCTTTCTGTCACAGTAGCTCTGTGGGGGTGACAGGACTCACTGGCTTGTTTTGTTCCAGTGCTGAGTTTAATTTCTTGCAATGAAGAGAATTAATTTGCATTTACTTTGGTTTCTATTTTCCAAACAAAAATAATCTGCCCTGATTGTTACTGAATGGCTACAGTGACCTTTTCTGTGCAGCAAGGTGTCTTGTGTAACACACGCAGGCTCACGCAGTGTATAAAGTGTATTTCCTGGGATCAAATCCAGACCTTCTGCACCCAGAGTGCATTTATCCACTGCTTAAGCTTGGAGATGGCTAATACTGAAATGAAAGTAACTGGCCGTTACGTGAGCAGAGGGGCTTCCAGAAAGTGAATTGATCTCCCAGACTCTGCAGCCTGCTGTGGCCACGCTTGCTCTCTTTTCCTTTCTAATCAGCTACTCTCTTTGCTATATATAATTGGAGACCCCTTAGCAAGTCACCTGTGAACACTGCCCTCACCCCCTCCAAGAACATGTGACTGATTCCATTTAAATAGAAGCCTAACAAAGCAAAGGAAAATCGACAGGGACAGATGTCACTATCGTCCTCCATTCATTTCCATGTACATGCAGAGGACCTCACTACTGTTCCTCATGCTGTTGCGGGGGGCAGACCGAAGATGTATTTAAGGTAGAGATTCAAGAGCTCCCTGTGCAGATGGGGCTGTGGAGGCTCCACTGAGACACACATGCACCCAGTGACTCGGATAGCTCAGGTCATACCGCAGGCAAGCACAGCCTTTGCTCCTACAGAAGAGTTCTGCGGGGGACGGTGGGAGCACATCTGGGCCCCCACTGTGCCAGTGGGAGGTAGGGCTGACTTTTTCTTAAAAATACAGCATGTAGCACAAATGGATTTTTAAAAACAAATAGGCAGAATGATCCCCAAAGACTATTTGTGGAAAAGATAAGCTAGCCGCATCACATAGCTGTCTTCCACGTGTGACAATAAAGGAGCCCTCAAGACCAGATATATGAGCAGCCCTGGAGTCTATGCCTGGAGATGCAATGCTGACTTAGTGCACTAGCTAGTATAATCAGGTAAGTTACTGGTGATAAGCACAGACAAGACAAGCACACACCATATGCATGGCCAGGCAAGAAACTACACTCTTAAGAGTAGTAAGGATGCAGGGGAAAAAAAAAAGAAAAAAAAAACAAAACGCAAAATCATCTGGATTTTATCTGTAGGGATAGTTCTCTCTACTTCTAAATTCTGCCTGGAGGTTATTTATTCAACCTTATACAGACATCAGAACAACTGAAATAGTGATGGAAGTCCCAGGTTTTCTGACTGCAGGCACTGCAGAGTACTAATCTCGGTGTGCTTGACTGCTGTGATCCTGGAGCCCAGTAGTCAGAGAAAACATATTTCAAATCAAAAATGTTCCAAAAGCTTACCAAATGCAATGATGATGACCACCGCTATAATTCCAAAAACTAGGCAAAGGCAACGGTCTGTGAAAAAGAAGATCATTAACAGTTTTGGATACATGAGCACTTAAGCTCAGACTGTATTTCAGTATTAAGTGAGACAGCAGCAGGACAGTCTTTCATTTAAGCTCCAAGTATGTAAATATAAAGCACTACTGAAGTCAAACAAGGCTCCCTGAACTGACATTTATGTAACTGGACAGTTGGATAAAATGGCCAACTATCACCTAATTCTCATTTTTTTTGATCCGTATACACCCTGAAGTTTTCCACCAACGTGCAGATTAGCAAATTTAAGCCTCGCAGTCCCAAGTTTCTCATCTCCTCTATGTTTTGCAGACCTCTTAGCACTGACCTCTGGAGGCCAAGAACTCGAAGGTCATCACTACCTCCAATCAAGCTACATCCAGGTTTGGAAAACAGGAGAATGTTCTCATGCAATTCAAACATTAAAGGTTGAGGTTCAGAGTATGGCTGCAGTCTCGAATCACATGTATTTTCTCTTTGTCACAAGCTGTCCTTCACACACAAATTTCAATGCAGATGTGGAAGCTCATCTGTTGCAAAGGCACAAACTATTTTCTCTAATGAGGTCTGGCTTCATCTCCAACATCATATCCAAGAGTACTTCATACAGGTAAACTACCACATGGGAAAATGCCCATCTTCACACAAAAGGATCAGTTCACACTTGGATCAAATGTAACAGTTATCTTAATTTTTGTGACTACAGCTTTGCCTAGAAGTAAACTCCCAGGTTTCGTCTTGTCCAAGCCAGGGGACCTGGAACTAGATTTGGAGCTAGACTTCAGACTTCCTGCAGGATGGTGTCTTACCTAACACCAGAGAAAAAAAAAATATCTTACATTTTGACTGGAAGAACCACTCTTTACAGCGCCTCGCTATCCTCCACACCCACGAACAAGCTGCCACTTCTTGTCTGACATTAGTGGACTCTGCGCTCCCACCAGGTGCTTGTGCCATTCGGGTGGTCTCAGCCTCCCGTTCATCTTCAGACTCCATCTACAGCTGGGAAACAAAGAAAGAAGCTATGTTTAATGAGTGCTTCCCCTACTGTCTGTAAACAAGTGGAAATAGTAGCAATCCCAAAGTTGCCTTAGTTATTGCCTGTACCTGAGGGGATGAAGGCAGGGTGGATGGAGAAATGAGGAAACAAGTAGAAAACAAGGAGCTTGTGCAACATAACTGAGGCCCTCCAAAAAGAAAAGGTGGGCCTCAGATACATGGCACATATCCTCCTTCCCAGGGAGGGAGGCGATTGGGAATGAGGACTGTAACGGAGGGAAAGGGAAGGACTGAGCAGATGGGAACAATGTGATAGTGAGGGGATGGGGGGGGGCATAGCAAGGCAGGAGGGAAAGGCCACAAAAATCAGAGCCTTCCACTTCACCACTATGTAGCTTAAAGTAGTTTTGCCTGCATGCGAAAAGTTTGGGCAATTTCCCAGGTGAGGCTGAACCGGGTCTGCAGAGGGAAGTTCACTGTACCCTTTTGTGCTCACTCCAATGAGTGATGTTTTCCTCACAGTCCTTCTTAAATCCCACTTTCAGTGACATAAATTTAACAGAAAAAGTCACCCAGAAAAGAACACGCAGCTATAAACAATTATTGTGTCAGTGCAGAAATGTCAATTCATCTTCATGAGTTAGGTTATAACAGGGAAGAAGAAAACCCCACTCCTCTACAGAAAAGGCTTCAACACCTTTACTTGTATTATTACTGTTATTAATTGGCACATGCCTAAGAGGCCTCCTCAGCTCCACAAATTCCTAACAGTAATTTGGTGCCTTAATGCCTCTAAGAATCAGACTCCACTTGCGCTTGGTCCATCCTATGAAAGCAGAAAGACGCTAAGGCTTGGAATTGCGTTCTCCAGCAAGGTGCTCTTTCCCCAAAAACTCTTCTGATTGCCCCGAATGCATCCCCAAAACACCCTGCCCACTTTCGTGCCTGGATCTTCGCTGTTTGGTACGTGAACGTGGGTCTGCTCGTGGGCCAGGCCTCTTCCCTCCTGCGGGCATGCCGCGCTTTCTTACTGTACTGAAAAAATCACTGGTTATCACTCCAGCAGTGGGGGACTTTCTCCTCAACTTTCTCGCCCCCAGTAGGGAAAACCCCTGTTCCACACCCCTGACTTTTGGGGAGGTCACAGGGAGCAACACAGCCAGCCGGGGCTCAGGCCAGCGACCGCTCTCTCTAGCTCAAGGCGTTTCTTGAAGGCGGGATGCCTGCAAAATCATTTCAAAGAACTGTTCGGAAGAGCGCAGAAAGAAACGCGCTGCCTAACGGTCCGCGATTTCTCACCGAGGACGCCAGACAACTGCAAGTGAACCGCGAAGCTCCATGCCCCCCGCCCCCTCGATTTTAAACAAGCACATTTTCCTCATCTTTCCTCCTCGTCTCCCTCCTCTCTCCTCCTCGTCTCCCTCCTCTCCCGTCCCGCCTGCCCCCCGGCTTTGGCGTACAGCCCCCCCCGGCCGGCCCGATCCCTACCTGCTCCCA